TTTTTATTTTTTTAAGTAAATCAAGATTAAATAAATTTTTTTCATAAATTTACATATAAAATTGAAGTACATCAAGTCATTTGACTTATAATTACAACACTCAAGAGAAAATGTTCTATGTCTAATAATAATAATAAAATGAGTATTAAGTTTGGCATTACATATATTTTAAAATTATAATTCTTATCTAGTATATACAGATTTGCTGTTACTAACTTTTATTTGAGATAATTCACCCATTTCAGATTTGAGAAGTATTAGTTCATCGTCATTAGGTTCTTCAGAAGGAAGCATTTGTTCATCTTCAGGTTACTCACGTGGAGACGTTGGTTCTTCTTCAAGTTTCTCATAAGAAGATGTAAACAAGGTCTATAAAATCAACATTGTGAATATTAGGTTATAAAAGATGGTAATAACGTTTTTTTTTTATTATTGAGATACTGATAAGAAATTAACCAATCAGAATATATTATTTGCAACCAATCAGAGTACATAAAGGTATGGGCAGTCGAATAATATTAAGTATAATTGAAATAATAAAAATAATAGACAATTTCTATTTGTACACTAGTGTACGCATACACGTATAATCAATATCTCAAAATTTCGCCTATGCAACTGCTTTTGGGGCTTTAATAAAAAAAAATTCTTTGCTAAATTTTGCATATATCTAATGCCTAGATAAAATCCAGGCCTCACCCTACTCTAATCTTAATCAGGCTTTATTTTTTATAAAAATTAGTTTAATTTCGATTTACATAAATTAAAAAATAATACCAGTGTACAAACACTTAGTGTAAATTAAGTAATTTTCAAAAGGATAATAACGATAAATACTGTAAATAAATAATAAATAAAAGAAAAGAAAAAGAAATAATTTAATAGAAACCCGTGACTTATAACGAGACACTAATTTATAGTCGTACTCGAATGTTTATATTAAATCGGTATTACGGCTATAATCATCCCATAGGTAATGTCGTGATTAATTATCATTCGGTAAGTATAACTGCCGATGCCGAATTAACAAGATTAAAGTTGTTGAACAACCACAATAATAATAGAAATGTGTGTGAAAGAAAAAAAACCGGTTATAACTTTGTAATCTATTCAAAGATGGATATCGATATACAAATTAAGTTAAATAGAATTAAAAACAAAGCTTATCGTTATAAAAAGGTTTAAAAACATTAATAAACGAGATGCATACAAGTAAATAATTAAAACGAACAATTTTATCGTTATATAAAGGATTATTTTTTCCTTTCTTCTTTTTTTTTAAAAAAAAAAAATTAAAATCGAAATGTCATTCTTCAAAGAAAATAATCATGTCGACGTATTAATTTGTGGTGCAGGTAAAGTTTGACTAATGTTTTGGATTGAGGATTTTTTTAATATGATATTAACAAATTTTTTTTTTTTATAAAGGTCCCGTTGGCTTATTCTTAGCAAATGAATTGGCTGCATTCGAAGTAAATTTCCGTATCATCGAAAAGCTCAATAAGCATCCGAATTTTTCAAAGGCTCTTTTGGTAGCACCCAGAACCTTGGAAATTTTTGATAATAGGTAATTTAATTATTCATTATATTCATATTCTTAATCACAATGTCTATTCATATTTTTCTTGTCTTTTTTTAGAGGTCTTATTGATCCTTTCTTAGAACATGGTGTCAAAGTGAAACAATTCTCTATACACCAAAATATTCATGACTCGGTCAAGATCGACCTTAGTAACATGGACAGTCTATTTGCCTTTGGATTAATGAATCGTCAAAATAAAACTGAAGATTATTTAGTTGATGCTTTACATAAAAAGAAATCAATGGGAATGAAAAATGTTCCCAATATTGAATTTGGCATGGAACTATTAAAATACGATGAGAAGGATAATCATATCATCGCTGTTGTCAAAAATGTAAATAGCGGTAAGGAAGAAGAAATCATTTGTCGCTATTTAGTAGGATGCGATGGTGTACATTCCTGTGTTAGAAAAGGACGAAGTGATTGGACTTATGAAGGTAATCATAATTTCTCTATAGTAAAATCAAATTAAAGTTACATACCCATAATCTAATTATTTATTGGTTTTTATTTTTTCTAGGTCAGACATTGAAATCTTCGTGGGCCCTGGCTGACGTAAACATTGATCATGAATTGATTAAATACGATCAAGCAACTACCTTCACAGTTAATGAAGGTAATGCATTTTCGATTATAAAAACTTATATTACATTTTTTAATTTAAATTTTTGTTGCTTTATCAGGGCCTGTAGCTATAATACCATTGGATGGCCGAAAAAGTACTGTTCGTCTCATTGTCAAAATTTCTGATAAAGAATATGAAAATGAAACTAATGATGGTATTACGCATGGTCTCACAAATAAGGAACATATTACGATTGATGAGCTGCAGAAAATAGTAGATGAGAGAATTGCCCCTATTAAATTTGAGCTAAAAAATCCCGTTTGGATTTCTAATTTTAGAATTAATGAAAGAATAGTAAACAGATATCGAACAGGTCGAGCCTTTCTCGCAGGAGGTAAATATATTATATATATTTTGGTTATTAAAATTACAATAATATTTATTAATTTTTCTATTAAAAATAAGATTCTGCACACTGTCATTCACCGATTGGTGGTCAAGGCATGAATTTAGGAATTCAAGACGCTCATAACTTAGCGTTCAAGTTAGTGTTAGTTATCAAAAATCAGGCCGTCGATCCTGACAAACTTCTTAATAGTTACGAACAGGAACGATATCCAGTTGGCAAGAACGTAGTTTCTGGCACTAGTTTCGTTACTAAAATGGTGGATAAAAATGATTTTATTAGCACTTTCTTCCGAACGCGCGTAGTTCCTTTAATGATTCGTTATTTTCCACAAATTGCATTTAATTTCCAATCAAATTTGTTCCAAGTCGTACTTAATTACTTTCCTGAGACATCAGATATTCTTCACAAGTATAAACCTCACTCAGGACCGGAAAACAAATTAATCAAAGCGGGTCATTACTTATTAGACGGATTATTAAAGAATATAATCTTTAACAAAAGTCATGTCCGTTTGACTTTATTTGATGTACTTCGTTCAACAGCATTGAAACACACCCTGATCCTGTTTACTTTAAATAAGGGTGTCACCGCTGACTGTAATCCACTTATAAATACTTTGTTAGAAATCTACACTGACTATAAAAGCACCATCACCCCAATTATCATTTCATATCAGGGTGCTGTCCAGACTGCTGATGTACCATTCATGCCATTCTTAGAAGAAGGTCGAGAACAACATATTTTTATTGAACCAAAATTCGAATTGCACGAAAAATATGGCATTACAAAAGAAATTGGCCAACAGGCTTTTGTACTTGTTCGACCTGATTTGTATATTGCCAGTGCGGTTTTTGAAGATGACGTTGATGAACTAAAGGCATTCTTAGAAGGGTACTTGGTCAAAGCAAATAGATAATCATGAATTTAAAAAAATGTTTTTTTTTTTTTTTAAACTATATTTTATCTTATTTTTAAGAACTT